GGGGGGGGGGGGGTTCCCACAGAATGATTCTTTTTGGCAATCGGCAGTCGTTGCCAATGTGTGTAAATATTTTAGTATACCCAGAGCTTGCGGGTTACGCGACTACCCACGCCGCGGCTCGAGGACTTACACGCCGAGCTGCGACACCTGCCGACAGTCCCGATGTCTCGCACACTTCGACAGTGATGCGGGAATGGACGTGGGGGGATCGCATGACCACTTTCAGAGACATCACGCAACACTACAGACTGAACAGATGCAAATATCCACCACCCCACGCCAAACTAAACAAGAAACAGCAGGTTGCCTGGAGACAACTACAGACACACACGTACCCGAATCCGGTGATCCTTCGCCTCTGCTTCCCAGGCATTTATACGTCCGACGCGTGTAAGGCGTGCGGAGCCAGAGCGACGCTGCAGCACATGCTGTGGAAGTGTACCGGTAACGCGCAGCAGTCCCCTACGAACCCGGTAGACATGGCAGTCTCGAACCGTGAGGCGCGATGGGAGACGGCTCTGCTCAGCCACGACCTTGCCGATCAACTGTGGGCCGTCAGGCAAGCCCAGGATGCCGCCCGGGTCCAAGGACTCGAGGCCGTCACCTAGGCCGTGGTGCTTGTAGCCCCACCCCGCTCAATGACGCCGGACATGTTCAATAAAGTTTTTACTCACTCACTCACCCTGAAAAGTTAAATTATGAAAAAAATTTATGGTGCAGGTGGTTTCAGATTTTCTTCCTCTCTCCTCTCTACTTGCGGCCTCTTGGCTCTGCTTGCGTTTGAAACGGTATTTTTTTTAATCTCACAGCTTTCTGAGCACAGCTAACTTTCAATAAATCGGCTCAGTTATTCTAACCAATGAAGAAAGAGTTAAGAAAGAAGGAATTGGTATAAGACACGCCCTTTCTGAATTATTTTTGATCTCTCACAAGGGCTTTTATGGAGCTCAAATTCAGTAGATTGGCGTGTTATACTTCAAGTGACATATCATCATGTCCTAGACATGAAGGATGGGCAGATACGAAGAAATCTGCATCAAGAAAGCACGATGGAGGAGCCGAAGCGCATAGCAGTTCCTGCACGCGGCGCGCGGCTCTTTCAGTACTGTTTGACTGCAGCGCCACCACCACGGGCAACGAGGAAGGGATCAGGCGGCGAGGCGCGATCACGCCACTCAACACTTGAAGTCATGGAGGAATGAAAAACTAAGGAGAGGCCCTATCTCATCCGATGCATTGCGAGAAGTGTGGCGGAAGTGACGTCAAACATATGAGGCAAACAAACCGGTATGGGGCAAACAAAACAGCAGACGCTCCGCAGCGTGCTCTCGGCGCTGTTTTGCTTATATAGTCCCGGCGTTAACTTGACACGTATTGTAAGGTTTGCATGCAGTAAAATTTTGCGAGCACACCTTTCAGAGACTGTTCGTGCGTGGCAGGGCCGAGCGCGGCGTGCTGAAATACTTCGTGGAGTGTTTTGTGCAACGGCACAGAAAGCACCGGTACGTGTCGGAATGGAAATCACTCAGCCCCTGCATCATCGTATTCGCACTCTCCCGGCAGTTCTGCTCGCCGCAAGGCCTTTCTCTCTCTCTCTCTTTTAGCCATATTTTCTGATCTACGGGTCGATTAGCAGTTCTTTGCTCGTATATTGTGTCAGTGTGGCAATGCACGATCTTGAGAGCTTGCTTCGTAGCTATTCCGTGCAACGCCAGTCTAGTATCTGACGTACTTCGCGTCGGTAAGCAGGCACAGCTGTATTGTATACGTGATCGTGCACGTAAAGTGTGTATTTCCAGTGCGCACACAATTAACACGCAGCGAGTGCACACCGCGGTACAATGCATACACACTTAGTCCGGAAAAAAGAAAATCTTATTGTCGTTCCGTATGAACGACACAACTTCTACAAACGCCACACGATGCCTACAACAGTAAAAACGGAAGTTCGCGTGTGTTCTCAGTTGACACAATAAGTAAGAACTAACGGAGCGTACAGCTGAGAGCTCAGCATGCAAATACCATTAACAGTGAAGCGACCATACGTGAAAAGTGCCACCAGGCACCTCCGGCGGTGCACGCGATTCGCACCGAGTATATACTACAGCTGGGCATCGCACAGCTTTTCTTTAAAGAACACGCAAAAGAATCGGCACTCGTGGATTGACTCGCTGCCGGCACAGAACACCGCTTCCAAGGCCACTGCGGCAGCTGGTCGCCGGAAATCGCGAAGTGTTTATCTGCTTCTTTACTAGGAGGTAGTGCGGGTGTTTGCGATGCGGTGGCTTCATGAATATGACGTCATGGCCTCTCATATATTTTTTTTCTTCCTCCATGCTTGAAGTACACTCTAGCGTGGTTAGCATGGCCATGGAAGAAGGAAAAACTGAGGAGAGGCCCTATCTTATCCTAATGCATTGCAAAAAGTGTGGTGGAAGTGACGTCAAATTTATGGGGCAAACGAACCGGTGTTGGGCAAACAAAACAGCAGACGCCCCGCGGCGTGCTTTCAGCGCTGGTTCGCTTCTGCGTGGACTTATCGCTCCGGCGTAAACTTAATGCGTATTGTACGGCTTGCATGCAGTAAAATGTGAGCACACCTTTCCGAAACTGTTCGTACGTGGCAGGCCCCAGCGCGGCGTGCTGAAGTACTTCATGGAGTGTTTTTGTGCAACAGCAGAGAGTGCCGGTACGTGTCGTAACCAAAATTATTCAGCCCCTACATCATCGTATTCGAACTCACCCAGCGGTGACTTACGCGTTCTGCCGTAAGCCCCCCCCCCCCCCCCCCTTTTTTTTTTGTTTCCCAGCTTTCCCAATCTACGGGCCGATTAGCAGTTCTTTGCTCGTATATAGTGTCAGTGTGGCAATGCACGATTTTGAGAGTTTGCTTCGTAGCTGTTCCATGCGATGCCAGCCTAGTGCTTGACGTACTTCACGTCGGCAAGAAGGCACCACTGTATTGTATACGCGATCGTGCACGTGAAGTGTGTAATTCCAGTGCGCACACAACTAACACCATATAATAAGACCACACAATACATACACTTTTAGTCCGATAACTAGAAAAGTTTATTGTCCTTCCGTATGAACGACACAACTTCTACAAACGCGACACGATACCTACAACACTAAAAATGAAAGTTCGCGTGTGTTCTCAGTTGACACAATGAATAAGAACCAACGGAGCGTACAGCTGAGAGCTCCGAATGCAAATACCAACAGTGAAGCGAACATACGTGAAAAGTGCCACCAGGTACATCCGGCAGTGCACCTATAACTGCTCGGGCGTCGCCATGATGGAACGAAACTTGGCTTTCGGTTGACGCACGGGTTGACGTATAGTGCCTAGCATATACTTAATAGTGTGCCGACCGCGCGTTTCCAATGGGAGGCGCTGGCGCTGCTGATGATGTCTTGACGACGATCACGGTGTCGGCGGCGAATTTTAATCACCCACGGCTCCCACAACCAGCCACTCTTCAAAACGTGGTGACCCTCGAGGGCCTTTCTGGACTTCGTCTGCTCCCGCGTTTTCAAACTCGTCCTCGGAACGAGAAATTCATGAATATCGGAGCTGTCGACGCGTGGCCACAAGTCCACGTCACTAACACAGTCGCCCACACGAAGCGTGAATGGGTCCACTCGGAGCAAATTCTCGTCTCTTCTGAATTCGTACCGCTCGAGGTCTTTCTGGCACAGCGCTGCGATGTAGTCTTCCAGTGAGGCTGACATCGTGCTCGACACTTCTTGGAGTTAAATTTGCGTCGCGCTCGCACTCGATCACGCTTGCAAGCTACGCCAACGGTCGCAAACACGACTGTGCTGCTGCACTCCCCGGCCGCCTCTGACAAAAAAAAAAAGGGGGGGGGGGGGGCTGTCTACCCAGAGGGCATAGCATGGCCGCCGTTCATGCAAGCTCCCTATGCCAGATTGCGCTGTACACTTCCACAACTAAGTTATTACCTTAACAAAGCTCGACTCAAGGCGTCACCGCTGTACATTTTTTTTTTTTTTTGCAACGAAATCGAAACGACTGAACATTTCTTTTTATTCTGTCATCGTTACTTACCAGAGAAAAATATTTTTAGTAGCCCCATTACAAAAGCTAGGAATACAAGTAAATGTACCAGTACTTTTATCACTTGGCGGCACTTCATGTGGTTACTGCCCAGGGATATATGCTCCATTGTTTTTGACTACATCAATGCAGCTAAAAGATTACCGTGCTAGTCAACCCTGACCTTTTCAGATCTTTATAATTCGTAGCGATGTCTGTCAGGAACAAGAGATAGTTTGACCGCTTGCTTAGCAAACATTTTCATTTATTGGCACAATTATCTCTAAACTAACTTTTCCCATTGGCTTTCATTTCATTTTAGTCTCACTTAAGTATCCTGCCACCCGGTTCTTGGCCCATCTTCCTTTGTGGGTGAGCGCCATTTATCTGAGGTCATCAGAATCAGCATTAGATTTTTCTAAGAGGTTCACGTACGCAAACATACGACGGGGCAGGCTAGTTCGATCACAATCGTCTTCGCTAAATACACAGAAAGCAGGCACGGCTCCACATATGACTACTACGCATAAAAAAATAATAAACCCCAAAGTTGTCTCCATGCGTGAGTACGAACGTGTAGTACGTAACTTTTGAAGCATGTGCACGACGCAGTCAGCAAGCAACAGTTCACCGCGTTGTCCACAGGAGGAAGCTTCACGGGAAACATAACAAAAATGATGAACAGTAGCTTCAAACACTTGCCGCCAATCGTAATCGCCTCATCTCGCAAACGAAACAGGCTTTATAAGATAACGCCACGCGTAATGACAAGCGAAGGCACAGTCTTCAAGCGCTTAAATTGCAATCCATCGAGTCCTCTCAAAGACGGCGCCGAGCGCGCATAGTACCTTTTCGGCGTCTGCTAGCCAGAAATCTGACTAGCCGAGCGGCGCCGCTCGGAGCCAAGCGCAGCCGTTATTATGGTTTGTCTGCGAGCCAATCAGGGCCCGCGTGCATACGGGCGCAAATGATCAGATGTGCATCGGACGGAAAACAGTATGTTTTGCCAGCAACAGCTTTACTTTCGCTGCCATAAAGTTGTACTTTGGCATAGCAGTGCGTAGCTGGGTGCCGAAACCTAAGACAATGAAGAGGTGATACAATGCAGAAGGGTGCCAAGACATATACGGAAGTGAAGTATGAAAGCTCGGAGTTATCCAGAAGACTCTATCGGTAAGTTAGGCTTATAATCAGTCGCTTGCCGTGATCTTTTAGAAAAATAACGCTGATCGTCGATTGCCGAGGCGCGCCGGGCTTTCTTCCGCCACGTATCGCAGTCGCCCATCCGTCGCCGTAGCGCGGGTTCGTCACGAACGCCGCGCCTTTCAGTTTGTCACGCCGGGCACGAAGAAAACTGCTTTGACGACAAAGGGCGCAAATTTTTACGAAGCATTTCGGTTGCCGTCAATGTTCCAGATATATGGCATTCGTAACGCGTCAAAGAACAGGCAAGAAAGGCTGTACAGTAATAGTAATACGCACGGCTTGTTTCGATGCATAGCCTACAATGCGTCGTTGGGTTGTCATAATACGTGCGAAGTGTAATCCTACGGCATGTTTCCCAATTTTAATTAACCGTAAACGTTGGTTGCATTTTGTTCCAAAATCTGAATCTGTCGAATTTGTGAGGCTGTGGTGGCGTCTCGTAAGATTGTCACGAGAGGCACGTTTCCAAGCTGGAATAATTGTCCGAGGACGTTTCTTTTTTTCTTTTTTTTCGTTTCCTGGGCTGATAATGTCTGGTGGCAAAGTCGCGCGAGAGCTAACTGCAGGCCGATACCACCTTTTCCTTAATTGCGCCCAATTGTGCAAAAGCGTTCCACATGCGTCGTCATAAACGTTCCACGCCGTATTCATTATGAATGTATACACTGCAATCGAGTTCGTCAGTGCTGTCTGTTGTAGCTGGCTGCTGATATGTTTACGGAAACACTGCCACGTGTCTTTTGCGTTGTGCTAAAGAGTCGTTCAGGTTACTATTTATTTAGCGCTTCAAACACGGTTTATTTTTATAAGCACTAATAAATACTATAATTATAGGTCGTACCTATAAACTCAACTAATCTTATCATTCTCCACTCTATATTGACTTTTCTTCAGTTGCGATAGCAGTTCAGTAATGCACATTGTACAGTGCAGAACCAAAAACATTATTTCATTCTATATTTTAAAATGTTTGTTGTGTAGTACGTGGCATTTAACCACTGTATATTTAATGTCGCTGGTTTTAAGCTGGCTGTTCTTCCCTTCTCATGATCGCTGCTAGCACTGCAGGCTGTATTTTGTAGTGGCATATAGTGAGCCATAAGACAAACCGACAATTGAGTCATATTTTGCCTCTGACAACTTGTATCAAACATAAAAGAGCTATCACCTTGACTGCTCTAGTCCCTGCCAAAGCATGAGCATCTTTGTCAGTATTGAAGAACCACTTAGTTTTCTGTGTCGTTTCCCTAGCTTGCTTGCTTCATTCATTTAAGCTGCCCAGACATAAATCCCTTTGGAAAAAGGAAAGAAGACAACCGCCTGTTTGTAGCACGAAGCCACAAGGAAATCTGTACGGATTTCTCAGAAAGGAAGACCTCATAGTTTGTACTTAAATCTGTTTGGTTGCCCTGGATCTTTTTACTTATTGCCCGTCATTGTTAATTTCTGCCAGCTTACACTTACTCTACTGCTGGAACAATGTAAGAGTGCTCTTCTGATTATTTTTTCATCACTGTCTTGATCACTAATTTAAACAAACCTCCATCTAGGCTGTTGCCAGGATCTTCTCGGGTCTGAATGGTCAGAAAGGAGTAAAATTAAGAGAAACAAATAGCTGCCTTATACTTACCCCCCCCCCCCCCCCCCCCTAAAAAAAAAAGTTTTGTTGCATTTTACACCAGTGGAATGAACAAATTTCTACTTGACAGAGCTTGGTAGTAAGCATATCACCGTACACATTACAATATTTTTGCCATGTTCACTGGTCAGCATGTTTAGCTATCATAGAAAATAAAAAAGGCACACAACTTTTTCTTAAAATGGCTATAACCTGTTCTGCTTACTTAGTTTGCATGATGACATCATGCCTTGAAATGGTAAGTATTGCAATGAGTGGTCGTCTGTTTCCCTTTCTTTGTTAATAAAGGTAAGATGTAGAAGTGCAAGGAATGTACAATTTGGTTTAAGTTAAGGACAACATAAGAATGTAGTGGTGGAAATGCAACATTGCAATCAAAAAACGATTTGTACCACTGAGTTAGTCAATTACGTTCATTCACTTCTGCTGCATCATCGTAGAGGCTATCAACGTTGGTGCCACTGTTGTGTCACAATTCTAACAGGTGGCCAAACTGTGATTGCTTGTTGAAATATGGTACTAGCAATTAACCACATTATGTCCAGTCTTGCTTTCCTTATATTTGTGCCTGTGCTCAACTTAAATGACAATGCGATTGATGACTGGGGGGGAAGGGGAGTCATTATGCTCTCTCATCTAACCGGAGGGCAGGCATGCGTCTTTCTGTTATTATTTCTTTCTTTTTCATAAACATATGCTTGTCTTTTTGTGCATATGCTATTTTTTCTGTGTACTATAGCATTGCTGTAGCCTTCTGTGGTATATAAAAACATAATATTGATGCAAGGTAGGCTGGCAACTATAGTAGCCAGCCTCTGAGGAGGACAACGAAGTAGTTCTATGTGCGCGTGCTCTGGTGTTCGCGTTTCTGGCCCTTGGGTTACGAAAGTAAACGCCCTATTTTGTTCCTGCGTACCTGTGTCTTTGTGACATTTTCTGGTGAAAGTGCGGGATACGGTAGATGATACGGTCCCCTGTGAGCACCCCTGACGCAAGTCCATCGAGTAGCTCAGCCGAGCTTACCCCTGTGCACGTACGTTCCAGCCGTCGTCTCCAGGGACTCAAGCCACAGCACGGTTTGCTGCCTGAACGTCAGAAGACTATGAATCAAACACCGCCTAACGTCACCGCGCCAGCACCAGCGCACCTGGTTATCAACCAGCCCAAGACGCCGAAGACATTTCACGGAGCTGCTTTTGAAGATGCCGACGACTGGCTCGAGCATTTCGACCGAGTCGCCGTCTGATATCAACGATTGGACCCTAGAGCGTAAGCTACGCTATGTGTACTGCTTCCTGGAGGACTCTGCGAAAACGTGGTTTGAGAACCATGAAGCCGCACTTACGTCATGGGATGAGTTTCACCGGCAGTTCTTCAAGGCATTTGCCCGAGAGGACAGGAAACAGACCGCGGAGCGTGCTATAGAGGCAAGGGTTCAAGGCCCTAACGAAAGGGTGACAACTTACGTAGAGGACATGGATCAGCTTACCAGGCGTGCGGAGCTCTCTATGTCCAAATCCAAGAAAGTTCGCCACTTAATGCGTGGTGTTAAGAGATTTTTGCCGGCCTGATTCGAAACCCGCCTGCGACACTTGCGGAGTTCCATGAGGAAGCCACTGCCATGGAGAGGGCCCTTCAACAGCGTGCCAGGCAGTATAACCGTGGTGTACACCCAAGTGAGGTCACTTCTGTCACTCTCGGCAATGACATCAACGCATTGCGAGAGCTTATCAGAGCTCTCATTAAAGAAGAGCTACAAAAGATGCAGGTGACTACTTCACCTGTAGAGCAGCTCTCCATTGCGGAAATGGTACGCGCCGAGCTACAGCAAGCCGTTCACGCTCCCCGACCGTCCGAGGCGCCACAACAGAGGCACTGCGTCGAGATGAGCCACGCGGAAGCAGTGCGACGTCCTCCATCGTGCAGTTCAACCAGCGTATTTTACCCCAATGAGCGAAACGCTCAGCAAATGGAGGTAGACTTCCTTCCTCGCAGCTCACCGTTGATCGCCGAAGCAAGACCGAGAAATAGTGACATCTGGCGTACACCCGACCACAGGTCCCTTTGTTTCCACTGCGGGGAAGCCGGAGACGTCTACCGAACATGTCCATACCGCCGTGTGGGTCTCCGTGGATTTTCGCCTAATGCCCCTCGTCCACGACCTGGCGAGCGACCACAGGAAATAGAGAGTTTCATCTCGAATCGTCACAGTATCGAACATCGGTCGCAAGAGCCTCGCTCGTCGTGGCCTGCTCGCTACAGGTCACCGAGCCCAGTCTATTCACGCGGAGCTCCGAGACGCCGTTCACCCAGTCCTGCTAGTCGGGAAAACTGAGTTCAGCGACCTCCGGAGGTGAGGCCGCTGACGCTGACTCTACGGAAGATCCTCCACTATGACGACAGCGACGGCAGCAAAAAGATGTACAGACACAGTCAAACGTGGTACGAAGAGTGGTGACATCAAACATTGCGGTAACTGTGGACGACGAAGAAGTAATGGTGCTAATTGACACTGGAGCAGACACTTTTGTTATGAGCATGGGTCTTGCCTGCAGGCTGAAGAAGGTTTCTACCCAGTGGGCTGGGTCGCAGATACGTACGGCAGGAGGCCATCTTCTCACTCCGATGGGGCGGTGCACAGCGCGAGTCAGTATTCACGGATTTACGTATCTCGGAGATTTTGTAATACTGCCGAGTTGCTCGAGGGACCTAATTCTCGGACTGGACTTTCTGCGTTATAATGGAGCCATGATTGATTTGCAAGAGTCGCAGGTTACGTTTTATGCGGCACACGCTTTAGCGCACAACCCTCACGGCAGTTACGTCAATGCTTTGAAAATTGTTGACGATGATGTCACGTTACCGCCGAAGAGTAGCGTGTTCACTTTGGTAGCTTGCGACATTTTTGATAAATTCAACGAGTACGAAAGTATTGCAGAGGCAAATATCCCGCTGCTGCTCAAACGAAACATATGCATAGCCCGATGCCTTGTTCGGTTAGAGAATAAACGCTCTCGAGTTCTGCTGACCAACTTCAGAAATGAGTTTCAGCACGTCCCTAGAGGGACTACTGTCACTTTCCTCAGTCAAATCGCCGACTTTTTCGATATCGGCACATTGGATACGACTTCACTGCATGCAAAAGCTTGTGCTGACCTGGGAAGCCGCATTCACGTTAATCCAGACTTGCCAGATCCACAAAAAAAGCGGCTGCTAAACCTTGTGAGGGAATTCTTGGGCTGCTTCTCCACAGCATCGAAAGTTCAGCATACCACCGCTACGAAACACCGCATTGTCACCGAGGAATCAGCGCGGTCTCTTCGCAAACATCCATACTCTGTCCCCGAAGGAAAGAGAGGTGATTAAGTGTCAAGTTCAAGAAATGCTGAATGATGACGTCATTCAACCCTCGACAAGTCCGTGGGCGTCACCTGTTGTCTTAGTAAAGAAAAAAGACAACACACTACGCTTCTGCGTCGACTATCGACGGCTTAACAAAGTCACAAAACGCGATGTTTACCCCCTGCCACGGATTGATGACGCCTTAGACCATCTACGCCACGCCCAGTTCTTTACATCATTAGATCTCAAGTCAGGGTACTGGCAAATTGAAGTTGACGAGGGCGCCGGTGAGAAAACTGCGTTCGTGACGCCTGACAGGCTCTACGAATATAAAGTGCTGCTTTTCGGTCTCTGTTCCGCTCCCGCCACGTTTCAACGCATGATGGACACTGTACTAGCTAGACTAAAGTGGCAGACGTGTCTTGTATACTTGGATGATGTCGTTGTGTTTTCAAGCACGTTTGACGAGCATCTTTTAAGGCTAAAAAGTGTTCTCACTGCAATAGGGAGAGCGAACCTTACTATCAAGCCCGAAAAGTGCTACTTCGGCTATCAGGAACTCAAGTTTCTCAGCCACGTTGTGAGCCCGGGGGGTGTTCGACCAGATCCGGAGAAGTTGGCTGCCGTTGCCGATTTCCCTCGTCCTGGAGACAAAAAGGCTGTTCAGCGATTCCTCGGACTCTGTGCGCACTACCGGCGTTTTGTCGAAGGATTTTCGAAAATTGCGGAACCTCTTACAAGACTGACACGGCCAGATGTACCTTTCGTATGGACGGAAGAACAACAACAAGCCTTCGTAGAGCTGCGCAATCGACTGGAAACAGCTCCAGTGCTGGCACATTTCGACGACACTGCCGACACCGAGATCCACACAGATGCCAGTAACGTAGGAATCGGAGTCATACTAGTTCAATGGCAGAACGGCGCAGAGCGTGTGATCGCTTACGCGAGCCGCAGTCTCACAAAAGCAGAGGCTAATTACTCTACCACCGAAAAAGAGTGCCTAGCAGTCGTTTGGGCTATTAGCAAGTTTCGACCCTACTTATACGGCCGGCCATTTCGAGCGGTCAGTGACCACCATTCGCTCTGTTGGCTTGCCAATCTACAGGATCCATCAGGCCGCCTCGCCCGCTGGAGCCTCCACCTTCAAGAGTACGACATAACGGTGGTCTACCGATCAGGACATAAACATACAGATGCTGACTGCCTGTCTCGTGCTCCTTTTTCGCCGACGTCATCCGACACTGAACAAGATTTACCGTTTCTTGGCATCGTCGATGTGGTGCGGATGGCTGAGCTTCAACGTGAGGACACTGAGCTACTTTCTGTCATTCAGCATCTTCAAGGAGAAGACGTTATCGTCCCACGCCGGCTCTCGCGTGGTTTAACAACATATTGCCTCCGGAACAATGTTCTCTACAAGAGAAATCTTGAGAGCAGCCAGGAAACTTTCCTCCTCGCCGTTCCAATGGCACTGCGTGAGGAAGTTTTGCAGGCGTGCCACAACGATCCTTCGGCCGGTCACTTAGGCTTTGCTAAGACATTAGCGCGCATCCGACAGAAGTACTACAGGCCACAGCTGTATTCGTCCGTTCAGCGTTATGTCCGCACCTGCCGTGACTGTCAGAGGCGTAAAGTTCCACCCGCAAAGCCCGCCGGTTTTCTCCAACCTCTAGATCCACCTCGAGCACCATTTCAGCAAGTGGGAATGGATCTTCTTGGTCCCTTTCCCATGTCATCCTCAGAAAATAAGTGGATAATCGTCGCAGCCGACTATTTGACTCGCTATGCAAAAACCAAAGCTGTGCCTAAGGGAACTGCAGTTGAAGTCGCCAGATTCTTTGTCCACGACATTGTTTTGTGTCATGGTGCACCTGCTGTTCTCATAATTGATCGCGGAGCAGCATTTACGGCAGAGTTATTGCAACAAGTCACCAAGCTGACGCACACCAACCACCGGAAAACAACAGCTTATCATCCCCAAACGAACGGCTTGACGGAGAGGTTAAACAAAACACTGGTCGACATGCTGTCTATGTATGTTGATGTAGAGCACAAAGCGTGGGATGAAATTTTGCCGTACGTCACGTTTGCTTATAACACCGCTGTGCAAGAGACCACAGACCTAACACCATTCGAGCTTGTTTATGGCCGTCGCGTCACAACACCGTTAGACGCTATGCTACCCATAGACCAGGACAACAGCGGAAATGACAGCGTTGACGACTTCGTCGAGAAAGCCAAGGGAGCCCGCCAGCTTGCACGGAACCGCATTCGCGCGCAGCAAGACACTCGCCGTTACAACCAAGGCCGAAGGAACGTCCGCTATCAACCAGGTGACTATGTATCCGTGTGGACACCAGTTCGACATCGTGGGCTTTCGGAGAAGCTATTGCGACGCTACTTTGGCCCTTACGAAGTTGTGCGCTGCCTCAGTGACGTGAATTACGAGGTAGTTCCCCAAAGCTCCGACACCAGTTTAAACCGAAAACGTCCACGTCCAGAAGTAGTCCATGTAGTAAGGATGAAACCGTACCACGCCGGCGAGTTATGAACACTTTGAACTTTTTTCTTATTATCCACAACAGCGTGGGCTTTTTTTTTTCATTGACGTGATCATTTTATTTTTCATGGCCACCCCTACCATCTCAGTCAATCGACCGGGACGGTCGCTCTTGAAAGGGGGGAATTGACGCAAGGTAGGCTGGCAACTATAGTAGCCAGCCTCTGAGGAGGACAACGAAGTAGTTCTGTGTGCGCGTGCTCTGGTGTTCGCGTTTCTGGCCCTTGGGTTACGAAAGTAAACACCTTATTTTGTACCTGCGTACCTGTGTCTTTATGACAATATTTAATGCTTTGTGTTTAAAAATTTACATTTGTGTGGTTAGACTCTTTGCCATGTATATTCATTTCACCACTGTTTGGTTAAAAATGTTTCCCATGTATTTAGGTTTACTGACATGCTTTGGCCGCAAATAACATACACACAAAGTAAAGAAACACTTAACGACAAGACAAGCCACTTGTGCTTGTTGTTAAGTGTTTCTTTACTTTGTGTGTGTGTCATTTGTGGCCAAAGCATGTCAGTAAGCAAGTACCAACTAGGCCAACAATCAGTATTGTTATTTAGGTTTAGGTGCATGTCGAAAAACCCGTGGTGCTCAAAATTTTCAGAGCCCTTCACTACAGCATCTCCCATAATCATATCGTGGTTTGGGTGCGTTAAACCCCAGATATTATTATTGTTAAAAATGTTTCAAGTCTTATTTTTCTAAACCTTTCTTTTATCCACAAGTAGCACGTATATCAGCTCAACATTGCTGAACGTTGCCGTCAATAATACAGACGAAGGCAGGAAAGCGTGTCCACTTCATAAATCATTCTAGGTGTTAATTTATGATGGCTACCAATGTCAGTGCCAATAGGTGCAACAAAAAACATGTCTTCAGAAGTTTTCGTAGGGTCCCATTTACAGAAAAATAGGTAACACTGCAGCTTGCCACACTTGCCCTTGCAGGAGTGCCTCAGAAACAGCCCGGCGCTTGGAGGAGTGGCTTCGGGATGCTTCCTCGTTTGGAGCTTACTTTTCTCAAGAGGTGATGCATCTCAGGGCAAGGTGTGTGCTCGATTTCTTTCTGCCACCCTCTTTCTTCTCTTTTTTTCTTTTAAGGATTATCACAGAATGGCAGTTTGTTGACAGTTAACAGCACAAAAGCAATGCTGACATGGTGAGCATATGCACTGTACCAGCGCTGACTTCCAACCGGCGATTTATGAATACGAAGGCAATACACTCATACCTTATTATAACGAAGTTCCACCTTACTCAAAAACTAAGTTCGTGATATCTGGAAATTTGTTATGAAGGTGTAATCCTAGTACTATACGTATTACAAGACTGTTTTTCATTTACTTCATTATATCGAGGTTCGAGTGTGTGTGTGTGTGTGTGTGTGTGTGTGTGTGTGTGTGTGTGTGTGTGTGTGTGTGTGTGTGTGTGTGTGTGTGTGTGTGTGTGTGTGAGTGCACACGCGTGCCTGCGTGCATATACAGGGTGTCCCAGCTAACTTGGACCAAGATTAAAATAAAAAAATCTAGTACTCTAGTGAAGTCTTACCTGTTGTATGTTAATGGTAGTCATGTGTACATACAACCTGTATCTTTTTTCATGACTATGTGCTGAATCGGTGTTTATGCCTATCGATTATGCCTATTTGTATCAATCACTGGTAATCGGTGTTTTGCATCGTTGATTTTGACATGGTAAATTAGTTTTTTGTGCACCAAGCACTTTCTTGTAGTTAGTCTGGCCACTCAACTTTCAGAATCAATTTGAATTTGCCCGTTTCGGTAATATAGTGATTTTTGGCTGACGTTTGTGTGAACCAATGTGCGTGGGTCGTTAGAAATATGCACTAGCCTGTCAAGCTTGACAAAAATGCATGCCTCTTGGAATTACGCTATCGAAGTTATGTAATGAAAAGAACCTTTGCAAGTCATATATCGAAATAAAAATGTCAGCTTCACAATTTCACAATATTGAGCTGTAATAATTACTAGAAATTTATGCCAGCTATTCAATTGGGAGGTTTGCTAGGAGTGAGAGAAAATTTGTTGTTCAAAAAATATTTCCAAAGGTCCGCCGCATGCAGGGCTGCGCAGTATGAAAGATACGTGTATATGAGTTGCCGTCGTAGATACTATTTGGGTATCCTGTATCTCTATTGTAATACGTCTTGCAAGACAAGTATCTGTATCTGTATTTCCATTACATTCGATAATGCATTGTGTATATTAAGATGAAAGATACTGTGGTCGCAGCGCTATACTGTGCAGTACATTAATTGCTGGCTGAAGTCCGCTGCTCAGGCTCGTACTGCCATTAAGCCACTAGAATGAAAGTAAGGGCAATGACATAACTTTATCTTTTCCTCTGACTGTACCAGTTAGTGCAGGCGATGAAGTGTGCACGTCCCTTTCGGTGAAGCAGAGCAACACAACAGAGCTTGCACTGTCTCTACGGGAACTACGTTCGCTTGCTTGCCAACGTGCCTTTTGTTTTCGAGATACCTTCCCTTTTTCTTTGTGTCAGAGCCATGAAACTTAGCCTTAGGCACTTGCGAACAACGCGTACCACAATGTGTGTGGCGATAAACCCACAAATTTTGTCGCCGCTCTCCAGCGTGGAACTACAGCACCGCCAGTACCGATGCTGTATCTCATAGAGCAAGCACTTGCCTATCACACGACATCTTGGTGTACAATGACGCTTTCTTTGTGCTGTTTCTAATAAAAAATTCTTTTAAAATATAATATGATTGTTGGCAAAAGTGCTTTCTCAGCTGTCCTTCTCTTGCATTCCATACATCACCTAGTGCTCTGAACTGTTATTTTTTCTTTTTAGTCTCGTGATTACAATATGCCTTTCGTAAGGTACATCTAAAATAACCTCAATGTTTTATCCGTACATTTAAAAGTCTGCTTTTTTTTTCCTACTATTTACGCATTTAAATTCACATATGTTCACTAATCTGCCAGGGCGATTTGAGAAACAATATGTCATCATGTGTGTGCGTGTTGAGTATGCAGCACCAAACATCCTGCTTACTGTTCGTAAAATGAACAAAATGAGCGTTTGAAATAATAATGTTAATAATTAGAAGCTATCTTAAAGATCTTAGAAAGGGTATTAGAGAAACATTGTTATGTCAAATGATTCGTTTTCATGTGAACGTCCCAGCGAGCCATTTCAGGCAATTTTCCATGGGCACTGATTTTTTTTAATGTGTTACCTTAGCAGGTAATTTGACGATATGCCAAGTTTAATTCCCATAACTATTAGGAGTACCGTTTGTATCGGGCCTGAAACAACTACTTTTGTGTTCTAGTTATGATTGTTTCTTTGTTCAGTCCTCCGTGTTTATTTTTACTGTTACTAATTGCCAGGTAATCGGAGCTATAGGGGCAATAGCGTAAATATCAATGTGAATATCAATTAACAGTTCCATATCAACACTTCACAGCACACGCCCAAGAAAATTGAGCTCTTTTTCAGATAAGGCTACGATGGTATTCTCACACACAGCTTGACATATTTTGCGATAGCGTTTGCTTAAATAATTTCTTGTGCCGACTGGTTACGACTGTGGCCCAAGATGACATACTAGTCAAAGAATGAAGTGCATGCACACATTCTACAATGCATAGCAAGAAAACCACCAGAATAAATCTTGTTTTTTACAGTGTCAATAACAACACCTCTGTCTAACAACACGTCTGTCCAAAATAAACCGTGTCGCACAACACAGGGAACGTGTAAACGACAGCTAGGGAACACTTACCAAACTTAGCTACATGCTTGTTTCCACAGGTGGATTGCACCTCTTTGTTAGGGTTCGAAAGCTTACTTAACTTAGTTTTTCTGTAGCACAGAACTCTACGTGGACATGTCCTTTCAGGGCTATCTTTTTCTAAATGGTGTGAAATTTGATATACATAAGGTATGACACTACTTTTCGCAGCATTGGGTTAACCGTGGTTCTGCGGCCGTCCCCGCATACGCAAACCATGCAACAGACACTCAGCTACCGACATTTGCACTAACACTGGATAGCCTGCCAAGCAGGGCCGGATTAACAGTGCGAAGCACCCGATTAAAAAAAAAATAAGGGATCCCCTCGCCCCACCCCCTTTCTTTCCCGCTTTGTCATCTGGTCATGCTTGAGACGACGCTTTTCAGATTTAGCTGCAAGGAACACGATCCATGTTTATTCTAAGCCTCTCCAAAGTGTTTAATATCACCTAGTTGTTTTCTTTCTTGCGGAGCATGTGGCGAGATTGTCATCGAAATAATTAACTATATCAGGAGACGAATACACAAGGACTGCATCAGGATTCGTCTGGTTCGTTGGATCATACTGACTAAACTGTGCGAAAAGTTAAGATGAAAAAGGAAGAATGCAAATGACTCTTAGAAGTGTAGTGCAAGCATCGTGTGTGTTTCATCCATTCGTCTATAGCGTTGTTTACCCTTATTTCAAGAGAGGACATCCTCCCTCGAAAATCAGGGAGTGTCATTCATTCGCTCAGGCCTCGCCTCATTGCATACGCATTAATCAGGGAGCGTCTTTGTGAAAAATAGCTTCCTTTAGCTGTTTCAGCTTCACTGGTTCTGTAGCACACGCTTATATTGCACTGCTGAAGTTAACAGGTGGGCTTTTTTCAGAAACTGTTCGCACATACCTACGGTAACGGTACTAGTTGTATAGCTACTCTTTGATTTCATGCATCAGCACACGTTTAAGCTCTTCTAAGGCCGCGTTTCGATATAGTACTCTTATGCACATTGTATATGCCTACTGATCACAAGTAATACAGATGGTTTGAAATAAGAAACAATTTTCAATATGGTGATGGGGGTGGGCCAGATCTTTCGGAAAAGGTGGCACCTATGAAAATGATGTCCATGAAGAACTTCACAAAAACATTTTTAATAAGACTTGAAAAACGACCAGGCATATTTTCATTTAGGCACTAATCGTTCACTTTTCAACATGGAATAGGGGTACATAGGGGCGATTAAACTGCGAAATATCTTGACATTTTTGCCAACTATTTCTTCTTAAACACAGTGTAGAAATGGATGAACTCTTTCGCAGAAATACAACCTGGAAATGGGTCGTGTATACGTATTAACATGTTCTTTGTTTTTATTATTTTTTTTAGCAAAAAATAAGGCATGTACAGGCTGTTTCATACTTAAGGGAAATATCGGAAAGCCTAGCATCACAATGCAGCTAGCGCTGCAAGCGCGCTGCATTGTGAAGAAGCTCACGCCTTGAAGCTCACGCAAGCGCAGGTGCTTCAAGGGGGTAGTGTTGAACTGCGTCGTCTGCTACGACAGGGCACATTGTCAGCCTGCGCACGGATATCATTGCTAATGCAGGAACTTGGCCAATGTTTCGCACTAATAATTGTTAGAAAAATATGCTCCGCAAGATGTGGTACGAAGAAACAAGCAACGACAAACTCACGCATGCTTTCTTTCTTCATGTTCTATCTTGCTGCCCAGTTTTTTCATATGTTCCCGCAGGGGGCGGAAACTCATGTATTCACCTTCGCGTGATGATACACAGTGGCAGCGCCGATTTTACCACTGGTGGCTGCCGGGCATCCTGATAGAAATAAATCCGGAACAGAATATTTCTTTCATGACGTCACTGGTGGGGTCGCCAAGTAAAGAAAACGGCTAAAAATGGAGAGGAAGAGGGTTCCCGTGAAAGCCTTTTTTACCCATTTCGCACGCTAGCGGAATGCGCTCGTGCCTTCTTTCAGGTCCTCTGGCTGCTTGGGCCATGCTGCCATTCGTAAAATTTTGTTAACCATATTTTCAAAAAAATTTTTTTCGGGTGTTCTGAAGTGATGAAAGTGAAACTACTGGATTCTCACTAAAGCTGAACTCGATTAGCTCATGTAAAATTAGCTTTTTATTGCACGATCTGTACGAAAAAAAACTGACACATGTAGTGTGAAAGTGTCAATCTATAAAAGCGCTCTAATTTACAACTGACACACGTACATAATGAACAAACATTGTACCGAGACTCTCTGAACCAA